GTTCTCTGTGTTAGGTTTTGCTACCCCCTGGTGGTCCACAAAGGTTATAGCAGTTCTTATAGTTCCCAATACTCTTGTTATTCAGGCTTGCTGCAATTTTTATAAAGCCCACAGGGCAAATTAGAATAGATGTTCTCTCAGTGCCTGTATTCATAGGTACTGATTTATACAAAGTGCTGTTTATATTATAGAGTACGGTATATGAAAGGTATGTTTAGAAAAGTCACTTTGTGGTGAATTAGGCCGTCTGTTGTTTGAAGCTGACTGTGTGTCTTAATGGGAGCCATTAATCAAGTCCTGATCTGTTCATGAACTTGTACACAGTCACAAAACAAACACATATGGCGGTACGGTGTAAGGTGAGTTTATCATTGTTACAGTGTGCTCACTGTAAAGCCCCAAAGAGTGAAGGACACCGACTGTAATACAGGGGGGAGTGGGGCTCTGTGGGGAGAGAGAGGGTGTGTGGGATAGAGCGAAGGTCAGGATAAGAGAGGAAGATGCCCCAGGGAGGAGAGAGAAGGGGGGATAAAAAGACAGAGACAGAGAGAGGCAGGTGAGTGCTGATTTCACTGTGGGAGGAAGCAAGATAGATGGAAAGTTTATAATCACGAGAGAGAGAGCAGGAAAGAGTTTAAAAGCCAACTTTGTTTAGAATTGTAGTGAAAAACCACCACCAGTGTTTGAAAGTTTGGAGTTCAATTTTTCCTCATTGTGCAAAGTTAAGCATCTTAAGGAATAAAAACCAGAAGGGGCTAAGGAAGTACGGGAAAGTTGAAGACAGAAAGCTTCAGGATAAACAGCGAGTCCAAAGAAAAGAAGAAAATAATCAGAATGGATAGAGAAGAGCAGAGCGAGAACAGTTTACATACTATAGCCATCATTCTGCTGTGCTGTGGGGCCGTCAAAATGCTGCACCTGCTGGGAGTCATCACTGTGGAGGGTGAGTCATTATACTATCATCCACCTTTAAGTCAACCAACAAAGTCAGAGTGTTTCCACTGCTGTTGGGCTGTCAACCAGCAAAGCGAATGTTATAGTTTTTCTCAAGACGCAAAAAAAAGAAAACAGGGATAAATAAAAAAATAAGCAGTTAATAAATGCAAACTGCTGCTGGCTGTTCTGTTGTCAGATTTGCACTCTTACCCACATGAATTCTGAACTTCTGTCATTAACTACTCAGAGCAGGGAACTGCTGTAGAGGACTTGTGCGTGCATATATATATTTCTCCTGCTCATTTTAATGATGCGAATCTGCAGTTGACTCATGCACATGCATTGCTTTTCCCACTTATAATAATTCTGCTGCAGTACAGAAACATCATCTGTCATGTACTATAAAGAAAACAGAGCCTCATACAGCCACAGCTCAATAAAAACCAAAGATTTAAGAAAATCTCTATATGTTAACAGTGCCACTGGTGTTGGGATTCATTCCAGAACTTTGTAGTCTGAGTTGTTAATTTGACGTTTGCATATTTTAAAATATATATTAATGCCATAGTGCTGGATATATTACAAAATTTCCCTACATTTGGTTTTACTTTGTTTCATAATGAAATGAAATGAAGAAACTGAGATGATTTTAGTCAATGAAGACCACAAGGGAGATTTTCTCTCTGATGATCAGTGGAACTTTTAGTCTCTGGGGGAATTTTACTCTTTAAAGGTGTATGAATGTTAACTAATGCTTCCCCATCTCACCTGTGAGGTATTTGTTCTTTAAATTTACTTACCTTAGATGTATTGATATTAAGGTCCATGAATCACAGATTCTGCCTAAAGGGCTTTTCCAGCTCTGCACAGAATCAGACACCCTCTCTTTTAAGACCTTAGTATAGTTGATATACGTGTTTACACATGCTATGTATGCTAAAACATACAATCTCTCTATAATGGAGCCCTTTGTGATTATATATGATACTACTATAATACGGACGTCGTGTCTGGTCGTTATTTTGCTTGGAGTGTAATGGTGACTGTGCTGGTATGATTAGGCATTAGAGGCCTATCAGATGAATTCACACGATTGTGTGTGTGTGTGTAGTTGTGTGTCTCTGTGTGTGAGCCTGAACCTCAAAACCTACACCTCAGTACCCCGGTGTGACGCTGACAATGTCTGATCTGCTGGGATGAAAATGACCTTCAAGTGATGTGTGACCGTGTGTGCATGTGTGTGTGTTTGCAGGTAGCTGTGTTTGTGTGCGTTGAACACGTTGAGGGAGGAGGGGTAAGGAGCTATATAAAGAGACTACAACTCAACATTATAAGTTATACAAAGTCATAAAGTCATACTGCTCCCATAAAGTACAAAATGTGAGACCACAATTCAGCAAGCACTTACTGAATTGCGTAATAAATTATTTGGATTTTTTTATCGTGACTTTTATACTTTAAATTGACATGTGCACCGTTAGATAATATCATTGCACATGAGACTATTCTCACCGTTTCAAAGCATCTCTACGGCCACATCTGACAAACGTGTGAGTCAGCAGGCCAAAGAGTCAGTATATCGTATTTGATTGTAGAATTCAAACCTGCTGATTCAAGCTACGATGGCAAACTTGAGGTTTTTTGTGTGAAGTTCTGAATACTGAATCTGAAATCTGAAAAGTTCAGGCTTAATTTAGCAGTGAGATAAAGCAGTCTTTGCCTTGCTCAGTGAAATACCATCTCAGTACCCATCATTCACTGGGAGAATAGAACTGAAGAGGGACTGGTGTAATGAAGCTTTACAAACCACTAATGGTTTTGTCACACAGATAAAAATGTCTCATTTCAAAACTGTTAATGTTTCAAAATGTGAACTGCCAAGGACAGAGTGAACCTTGCACCCCGTGACACCAATTAAAGCTAAATGGGAACCATTCAAAAGATTTAGCTTTGTGCCTGTGCTGGACACTGTCACTGTGCCTGATACTGTTCAAAACACATTCAGCTAAATTTTCGTCTGGACAGCAGTCGGCACAATAGTGACTTTGATAGGGATAATGACTAGTGTGCTAAAAGGGGAAATGGTCCATAATTTTCTATGAAAAACAAACTGGGTGATTGCAATCTCTCATAGATCTTCTTAACTGATGCAAACACAGGGAAGTGCATAACAGCTTCTACTAATAGGACCATTCACCTTTTTTTTCAGCCTTAATTTCATGAGGATAAATGAAAAGAACAAACATTTCTGAGGATTTTCTCAGCTTTTAATGGGATCTTTTTCTTATGCTGCTTAGTCAGACATTAAGGCATCAGCCTTCATTAAACTCAGCAACTCATTATTTCAACAAAAGCAACATCTTTTTTATTTTTTATTTCTGCCATTTGCTAATTTTAATAGTGTCTACTGCTGGAATCTTATCACGCCACTCCATGGCCCTTTTCAGCTTTAATTAGAGCCTGGCTGGATTCTTGTGGCCAATGTCGATACAGATTGTTAGGGATACACTTCATTAGGTACACCTTGGTAGTACTTGGTTGGACTCCCTCTTGCTTTCAGCACCGCCTTAATTCTTCTAGCCGCAGATTCAGAAGGGTGCTGGAAACATTCCTCAGAGATTTTTTTTATTAATATTGAGGTGGTGGCATCACATAGTTTCTTTCTGCAGGTTTATCGGCTGCAGATGTGAATCTCCTGTTCCACCACATCCCAAAGGCGCTCTGTTAAATTGAGATCCAGTGAATATGAATGCCATTTGATTACAGTGAACTCATTTTCATATCAGCTAACCAATTTGAGATGATTTGAGCTCTGAGACAGTATGTGTTATCCTGGTCATAAAGGTCAGATAAACAGATGGACATGGTTAGCAGAAATACTCAGGTGGAGTTTAAACAATGCTCTGTTGATAATGAGGAGCCCAATTAGTGCAGAGAAAGTATCCCCTACGACATTACACCACCAACAGTTGTGTAATGCCAGAGTGTTGTGAGTTCAGAGAAGCTGTTCTGTATAATTTGGTTGGAATGTAAATGCACTGAGGTCTGTTTAAATGGCGGATACTTGCGTTACCAAGCAGATGAATAAGGGTGCCTAACTGTGTCGCTGGTGAGTGCATATTGGCTGATATTCTTCATATATGCATGTTTTAAAAAACTGGTATGGAATAATGTGAACACAGCATGACTCACCATCTGGTAAGCTGTGCATTTTAATGCTAGTTGTACTGCAGAAAGTTATGGAAACAGTGAAGTATGGGCCATTTTACAAGCTTAACCCAAGCTTTTTTTCCCTGTATTATCTTTTTGCATTAAAAAAAATAATAATAATAAATAAAAAAAACTCCACACCTGTTATTTTCTGTTCAGCAAGTCGGCACGATCGCCAGTAAATGTGGTGATAACTTCCTACTGAGCCTGGAAGTTTGTGGAGGAGGCCGCCTACTGATAACAGTCATTCAGTGGGCTGATAACATAACGGGGGCACCATGACCATTTTATCATATTCAGAATTTTTATTACTACTTCTATTAAATTATGCACAGTTATAACACTATGCATAATTATTACATTGTAGATTGCTTTGGGGGGAAATTGTTCACTGGTTTAAATGTGTAAATGAGTGTCTCTAAAAGAGGGCGAGAGAAAATGTCTTAATTTTATATTGTTGTGTTCACCTATAACCACCGTGTGTGTGTGTGTGTGTGTGTGTTAAGTCAGAGTCAGTGGTGTGTCCTCTTTCAACCTCCCCTCCAGCGAGGACAGTAATGAGTTGTTAATGATAGGGCCAGTAAGAGGAGCAGCGTAGAGCTGCGAAACTGACCTTTACCTCTCTGCACCTCCATCTTTCATCCTCTCCTCTCCTTCGCCTTTTTGGTCACAGTGTGTATCATTCGGCTTTTCAGAAAGACAACAACATTGTTCAAACCCGGTGCATACATATGACTTCACTGAGCTAATGTTGTCCTTTTTTCTTCATCTGAACAGTCACTCCCTTCCTGTCTACATCTATCCTTTTACTCTTTAATACTAATTTTTTTCCCCCCTATATTTTTCCCCTTTAGACAAAGCTGATGATGACTTGGAGATGACAATGGTTTGCCATCGACCGGAGGGCCTCGACCAGCTAGAAGCTCAAACCAACTTCAGTAAAAGAGAGCTCCAAGTGCTCTACAGGGGCTTCAAGAATGTAAGTGACTGTAAAAGTGCACTGCAACACTTCACCTCCAGTTTTTTCATCACGACTTTCCTCCCGCTTAACTGTCTGTAACTTGAGTATGAGAGCATAAACAATAAAAACATCTCTTTAAATCAAAGAAAAACACCCAGTAGCAAAAGACATTTGAATGATTTGTATTTATGTAGTTTTTAATTTTTTTTAAAACTTTGTATTGGCTTATATACACGGATGATAGCAGAGGTGGTGCTTTTAACCTGTACTGCAAGCAGCAAGTAGAGGGAGATAGGTATATCATAACATCTACCTTTAAATACACTCTATGGGTTTTACTGAGCTGACCTACCTAAATAGCTACAAATTAGTGTGGAGATCATTATGAGCATCCATCATCATATTGGACATGCAGACCTTTTTTTTTCTTTCTCTGATTTACAAAAAAATCCTCTGCGGTGCTACATGCACGCCTGTGCAATAACCTGGTTTGCCTAAATCTCGGAGAATATATAATCTCTTCTTTAATACTGAGCCAATGTTTGCCAAAGCCCGGATTCAAAGTACACAACACTGTTACATTTCTTCTAGTGAAACAAAGTGGTTTTATTATCCTCCTGGTTTTCTTTGTGTAAGTCTGTACATTTAATTTCAGTAACAATGACTCTGCTTCATGACAGAGTGAATAATTTTCACAGGTAAATAAATGGGCCAGAGTACAGTCTGCATTTGTGGTCACGCAGTAACATGCAGTAAGTTGTGAGATTAAACATTCCAGGTTTCTTTTTGCGTTTTTAGGAGAGTTTATTCATTTGTCACTTAATTGTAACACTACCATTTTAATGCAGATATACTCTGTTTTGTTTTGTTTTTTGTTCTTTACTACTTTCACAGATTTTTGTCGTAAAGTATATTTTATATTGAGGTTGCATTCTTTAGCTTAAAGCTCTTTATCAAAAATAGTCTCATAAGAGACACCCTGCTGTGATAGTCAGAAACTGTAATTAGATGTACCTTTGGTGACTGTAATCATTTTAAGCAACTTTAATATGGCTTTTTGATGACCAATCATCATCAAGTCTAGATTTATCCAATCTCCGTGCCTTATCGGCTTTTGTATTTCTCCACTGTTACACCCTCCTGTGTACTCTGTTTACTTCGTTTGTGCTTGTTCAGTTTTCACATTGCCCTTAAACTTTGTCCTTTTGTCCCTCTCTCATTCCAGGAGTGTCCAAGTGGTGTCGTAAATGAAGACACCTTCAAGCAAATATACTCCCAGTTCTTCCCACATGGAGGTGAAGTGTGTGTGTGTGTGTGTGTGCTATGATGTTTGCATTTATGTTCATCTTTGTCTCTGCACATTTTCCTGCCAGTGTATTAGCAACTTTTTTCTTCTTCTCCTGCAGATGCCAGCACCTACGCGCACTACCTGTTCAATGCATTTGACACAGGACACACAGGATCCATAAAGTTTGAGGTTTGCTTTATACTCACTCATTTCCAATCATTACATCTCAGCTCTTTGATACTCACCTACCATACGCCTCCCTTATTCAGTTTGTCATTCTATATCTGCTTCGTTCTCCATCAGGACTTTGTAACAGCTCTGTCCATCCTGCTGAGAGGTTCTGTCACCGAGAAGCTACAGTGGACTTTTAACCTCTATGATATCAACAGAGATGGATACATAAACAAAGAGGTTTGTCTTAACTTCTTTTTTCCACATGTCAGGTTTTATTCATCATAACTCATGGTGTCTGTGTTCTGTTTCACAGGAGATGACAGACATCGTCAGAGCAATCTATGACATGATGGGGAAGTACACATACCCTGCTTTGAAAAATGACGCACCCAAACAGCATGTGGATGCCTTCTTTCAGGTACCATTATCTGCTTCCTTTATTTATAAAGTAAAAGTAAAGTAAATTTTGATTTATATAGCTCCTTTCAAGATAAAAGTCACAAAGTGCTTCACAGAAGCTAAAACATAAAAATAAAAATCAACTAAAAGCAAGTTTAAAAAGATGAGTTTTCAGCTGTATATTCAATGAAACCGACAACATCAGCTTAGCACTGCCTACTTTACTTATCCAAAAGTCGCTACAGTAGAAAATAAATGACCCGTTACTGTTGGCTGCAACATCCACCCAAAATATACAATGACCGAAACTCAACCTCATTGAATATGCATCCATCAAGCCAGCCATCCAGTTTCTGCAACGTATCCCTGTCTACTCTGCTTAGACTGTGGGGGAAGCACTGTAAGCAGAGATGTTCATACATCCATCTCCACAGTCACCTGTCCGAGCTCTTCTGGTAGAACATGAAGGTGTTTCCAAGTCCAAGGGTAATTTTATAGTATGTAGGGGTAAAAATTCAAATTTGCTCCGTATATTATTATAGAACTAATCTGACACAAAAAATCCACTATCCACTTGACATGGTCATATCAGCAGAGCTGGACACACTGAGCAGCTCAGCTAGCTGAGTTAACTGATTTTAAATGTCAAAGTAAATAAATTAGATAATGTGACGTTTATAAAATTCATCAACTGTCTCCTCCCTATAGACAAGGCTAAACAAGCAGCATTTATTTTATGAAAATCAGCTGCAGCTGGAGTGAGTGGATACAGGTGGGGGTCACTTAGGGAGGTCAGGTCTCTCCAACTGTAATTGCAAACTGTAGTATGTCAGTCCTTTGGGGCTCCCACTGACCTGGTGCCAGTCTTGTCTGGTAGCAACAAGCTTCTGTCTAAGCCAGCTAAATTTTCTGTAACTTGCAGCTCGCTGATTCAACTATTGATTTAAATAGGCCGATTTACTAAATGTGTTTGTAGCTTTAAATATCACGTATTCTTCCATCTGCAGAAAATGGACAAAAACCGAGACGGTGTGGTGACTCTTGATGAATTCATCCTTTCTTGTCAAGAGGTACTGGCTTGTTTGCTTTTTCCTTCAACTCACTCTAAAGGCTTCTTCCACTGAGAATAGTTTAACTAATGCAGGATTTGCATATAATGGAAAACATGATGGCTGACTACAGTGCTGTTGCTAATGTTATTAGTGCATTTGCTCTCCGAAATGTCAGCATGTCTGCACAAAAGACCACCACAGTCACAACAGTTTTGCTAACTATTTATTATTATTATTTACCGAAGGCCTCTTAGATTTTGCAAGTCTCACTGTACATGCTATTAATTATGGCTGTTAGTACAGTTTTCCATCAGTATTTATCTGCAGAGATCATTAAAAATTTATGGACCTTTACTGCCCCCTAGTGGCCAGTAAAACGAATTAAATGGTGATTGTTGGCCGACTTTCTTTTCTCACAGTCACCACTTCTTAATTCTCCTTCATCTTTGCACAGGATGAAAACATTATGAGGTCCCTCCAGCTCTTTGAAAATGTCATCTAGACACGAGGGAGATGGTGCAGCAGACGAAGCACAGAGTGTGAGAAGAGAAACGAACAACAGGAAAAAGAAGGAGGAGAAGGACTGATGAATAAGAATCTGCAAGCAAAAGGAACAGCCTAACTTGTGAGAGAAGGCAGACAAGAAGCTTGTCAATTTGGGTGTGACTGTTTTCCACAAAACCTTCTGGAAGGCATCCTACTGTAAGAAATCTAAGGCGATAAACCTTCACTGGTTTTGGAAAGCCTCCTTTAGACAAAGTTGACCTTTCTGTGACCACTTCTCTCATCTCCACCTCCCTCCCTCGTTTGTTGCTGTTGTCAGTGTCATCTTGGATGGTGCGCACTTAGTGCCACTATGTAAATACTGCCCCTCTCGCATTTGGTTGAAGGCCTTTCTGAATTATGTAAAATTGTTACCATGCAAGGACTTAAATTCCTGAATGCAACTTAGCAAAGAGAGCATCCAAACCCACACTTTGCTCAATAGAATCTTAAATAAGAGCATTATAAATTTCTGTGTCAATACAAAGAACATGAGCAATATTGTGAAGCATGCACAAGAGATTCCTACAGTGTAATAAATGAATATGTGTCATAAAACTCAGTGGCAATATACACAACATCTTGCTAAATGGTTACATTTGGGATGCCCGGTCTGTGTGCAGCATCTCACCGAGCCAGCTCGGCCAGTTTTAGACATAAAATCAAACATAGGCCTCTAAAGGTTTGCAGAGCTGAACGTGTGAATGTGTCCCAGCTTGTGACATTCTTAGGTCTTGTGACAGCTTGCAACAGTCCTCAGAGGCCTCCTTAACTCCTAATGTGTGTTCCAGTATCGTCGGTCGGTGTTTGAATGTTGTAATGACTCAACTGTAGATATTTAACTGTTGTGTCTGTGGATTCTTCTCAGTGTCTTGAATCACTGGTGTCTGTCTGTGTGTCTCTGACTACCTGTCTGTCCTTCTGTCAGATTGGATATAACCCTATAATTATTCTACCTGCCACTCGGTGTTAAATAAAGAGCCCATTTAGAGGTTTCCCGGCATGCAGATGGAGAGCAATACGAGGATGTGCACATGTCTGTGTGTGTGGTGTCCCGGTGTGACGGTCCCATTTCCCTGAATATTAAAGTCTCATTTATTCTAGCATGTAGCTTCATCTTCAAATGAGCTGACTGTGTTTTTGCACGAGAGGCGAGGTTTGTCTTTAACTCTGTCTGTTGAAAACGTCAACTCAGAGCTACCAAAACTTCACTGTGAGGGAGAGATGTTGAAGGGAAGATTGCAGAGGAGGACAAAGCTCAGAGAATAAGACAGAAGATGAAAGTAAAGACCTTTTCACTGATTATGGAGGAATGGAAGCCATGTTTCAAATAAGAGCCATCGTTTTTGAAGACTGAGTAGTGCAAAAATACATTTATAAATGGTTTACTGTCATGCCTACTCACTGTGCTACCAATATAGTGATTTAAAAAAGCAAAAACAAACAAACCCCAGACATACTTTCACATAGACGGACGGATAGACAGGCAAACAGACAGACAAACTTAAAACAGTCAGAATGAAATAATGTGTGTATTGAAATACTGTAAAAAATCATTATATTTATCAATAAACTTTTCAAGAAATAAAATCAAGTAACGTCTGCTTTTTCCCCCCCACCATGTTGCTCCATACGGTTTTTCTGTTTTACACCTTATTATATGGTAAAACCTTTAAATAAGCACATGAGCAAAAGGGTCACAACAACATTTTATACTGTACACATATACAACGTAAGTACAAAAAGACTTGTACATTTGTGCCTCCGTTTCAAAGAACACGGCCCACAAATAAAGCATGATAATGTGCGTTAGGAAAAAAAACCCAAACTTCACCATCACTGAACATGCATCACTCCTTTTATTCCCCAACTTACAGCTTGTTTCCTATTTTCCTCACTTCGCACCACCAAATCCAAGCATCTATTTTCTGTTTATTACTCCTTAAAATAGCTTTTCTTTTCTGTCCATAATGTAACACTGTTGTTATAATTTTGTTGGAGCGCCTTACAGGTGACTGTGATGGTGCGCTGTAGTCTCGTCAGAGTGAGTACATCTATAAATGAAGGTTTAAACACCAGAACAATTAAGAATTAAAGAGGAAGTAGATTTTATCTTCGTTGTTTTGAGCAGACATTCTTGTTTTGTACTTTGATAAAAACACAAAGAGATCTGGCCTTTCTCATAAACACATTCCAACCCGTGCACTTTGTTGTGGAGCTGCTGGAGTGCAGGCCGAGATGATTATCCTCCCACTAAAATTAAAAAAAAGAAAAAAAAAAGGTAATAACAGAGCCAGCTGTAATCAAGTCCACTAAGTAGGGTAGACTAAGGCGATGGTCGCACTGAGAAACCACACCTTTACAAAACACTGATTCTTGCATCTCAATGTGGAGAATTAATTACCTCCATCAATCACATGGTGGCGAGAATTTTTTATGGTGGTAAGTCTTTTTTCGTATCCTTTGAATTTGTGTAGTCCTGGTGTTTCCAAGTACAGAGCTGCAACATTTTGTCCAATAAAGTTTCTGCTTCAGGACTCACCACGACTTCAGGTCCACTTTCACAACCACTCAATCGGGTTCTTCCGTTTTTGTTTTTTTTCTGGTCACACTTTTTTCCCCCCTCCACAGTAAGGATCACAGTAAGTCCTACTGTCCTCATGTAGGTCTAATTTAATTAAAGTATCCTCGCAGGGCTGTTAGAGGATGCTCAGTGATTACCGCTTGGTGTCTGGTCTCTACTCCCTTTCCTCGGCCCAGGGTTGAAGGTTCTGCAGCGCATACAGGGAGGAGTTATGGGCGCACAGTGGATCTGATACCGCTGATTCGCTGAGGGACTTCTGGAGGGCGGACTGCTGCAGCTGCAGGATGAGGCGATTGGCCTGCTGACGCTCCGCCTCCCTCTCCTCGGCTGTCTGCCTCCTTAAAAAAAAGAAAAAAAGAAAAAAAAAGAGAGAAATGAAACATTATTTTGGTTCAATAATTTTAAAAAGGCTGTGTACGATTAAAGGAGAGCGACAGAAAGTCTTGAAGTCGGAAGATTGCTATTTGCAAGATGAAAACAGCAGCTGTGCCTTGTTAGGAAAAAGGATGGCGATGCAATAGATCTGTTCGAAGCATAAAAATGAACTCAGTAAAAATATTTTGGGAATCTGAAAGGTGAATTAAGGGCTGATTAATCAAACAATACAAAACCCTTCCTTGTTATTATTTAATTTAATTAGTTTCACTTATTTGTTTATTTTTTTTAGAAGTTTTTCAATTTAATTTGGTCGGAATTTAAAGTATTTAAACTTCAAAATTATTTCCACATACTAAACATACTACACTAAGCTAAAATTTAAATATTTTCTGTAAATGTATAGTCACATTTATGTATTCGTTTTCTTTTGCGACTGAGTCCGTTAACAGGAAGATGTCACTTGGAAAGTGGAAAGTTTGTGTTTTCAGCGTCTAATAAAGAAGTCAACGATTTTTCCTGGAATTTTTTTTTTAAGTTCCTATACGGGCATCACTTTTGACACATGTTATCATGACATTTCATACCAACCTCCACTTGGTCCTGCGGTTCTGAAACCAGGTTTTGACTTGCGCGTCTGTCATCTTGAGGCTCTTTGCCAGAGCTGCCCGCTCGGCGCTGGCCAGGTACTTCTGTCGATGGAAACGCTTTTCTAACTCACATATTTGAACTCTTGAAAAGGAGGTGCGCGGCTTTTTCCGTTTAGGAGGCGTCCGGTTCTGGTACGGGTGCCCTATTCTCCGCGTAACGGCGAATGGCACCAGAGCCGCTGCAGGAAGGAGAGACGGGGAGACAGCGATAAATATGAGGTGAGATTTTATACAGCAGCAGACAGACGATTTCTGTGTGGAGATCCAAGGCCAAATATCACAGAAATCTGCCCTGTGCGACAACAGTGCCCTGTTTATGCGGTGCATATGTGAAATATGGTGATTTATATTATATTTATTAAGCAAGTTAAATCTGAGCAAATCTTGAAACAAAGCAATAATAAATAGCGAGTAAATATTTCTTCTTGAAGTTGTGTGAACTTTAGATATTCGCGGCACTGGTAATTAGAACAAGAGCAACAACAAGCATTTTGGTCTATCACCGTGGAATTGTGTGTCTGTATATTTACAACTATATATAATACATGTATTATATCAGGCCTGTGGTCATAAAAGCTTCCATTAATCTTCAATAAAATAGGCCACAGGACTATTTGTGTAATAAAAACGTTTCAAATCCTCTTCACACACCCTTATAAATACAGAGAACTGGTTATAGCTTTTATTATTTTGCATAATTGTGCTTCAGTTTCCTTGAAATTTATGAGATAAATCACTCCATAGTCCAATAATCAGCTTATTTATAGTTATCTTTAATTCCATAAATTAATGCATTTATTTGAGTTACTTTCATGTTTATTAGAAAACTGCAACAACGCCAGGTTGTTTGGTTTAACTGTGTTAATGCACTGGGCTTGTTTTTCGCAAAAACGTGACGCAGAAATTAAACATTCAAGTTCTACAACTGAAGCCAATTGAACAAAGCGGATGATGACGTTTAATGACAGTCTGTAAATGTAGTGCATTCTAGTATTTTTTAAAACAACAACTTGCACAATGTTCTATATATTTACGCCTTTTTAGATAAATAACGGGCAAATAAATTAAATAGGCTTTAGAGTTCTACAGATATTTGGCAGAGGTGCTGGTTTTTGTAATGGCTGAGCAGCACTTACTACCGTTTTAAACATTATAAAATATTAACGAGGGGAAGTCATTAGTTCTAACAGCTGGCCTACCTGATATTCTGTCCTTGGCAAACCTGTTCCCTATCCAAGGGAAGCACAGACCTCCAAAGCCAGGAACAGCGCTTTGCACGGGGGCCGGGGGTCCCGGGGCTGTCACTGGTCTGTGGGCTGGGACGCGAATGACTCCCCGGCTGCCCAGACTCCTGCTCTCTCCGTATGAACCTGAAGCCTCCACCGGAGGCATTACACCGGAGAGGGAGATCGAGAGCGCGGTATATGAGGGCGCGTTGGCCCCAGTCGGGCTTCCCAAACTGTAATAACCGTCTCCGTTACTTAAATCTGATCCACTTTGTCTTCCCGCCGTGCGCGCGCTTTCTGGCTCAGTACCGGCTCCCAGAATCTGGTCGATGCCGAAGCTTATGGGCTCGTGATGGGCCGGTTTTGGAGGAGGGCTCGGCGCGCTTGGTGCTTGCTCCATTCCTCGCTCGGTCGCAAAAAGGGCAAGAAAACTGAAGCAGATGGGGGGTTTTAGGCGTTGTTCGCTGTGAGGTCAAACTGTACCAAAACTCATCATCAGAAGTGTCGCCATCGCTATCCAGCCGTAAACCCAGAGTCCAGCGCGTCCCGGTTGTCTCTAACAGGCCTCTTTCAGAGGACTGGGTCCTCTCTACAGGCTGTGGTGAAAGTTTGATGGGCGTTTGGCGAGATGTGACGTTCTGTCCTCCTCTCAGCGCATCAAAACGCTCCGTCTAGTAGCTCCGTCCTCCTCCATCCCTCTCCACCTTTCATTGGCTGGCACTGGAATGACTGATTGAATGTCAGTGGGGGTAGGCCAACGATTTGGCACAATAATCAAGATTTCACATAACCACGGGCGTCAGCGTGTTATATATATGGTAAGATATGGCATCTTGATGTTGTCTGAGTGAGTCAGTATTTCATTTGGCGTTTCTTGTAATTCTAATAGAGAGCAGGGAGCAAGCAATAACTCTATGAAAATGTAAATGGAATATCTAAAAAATCGGACCCGGGGGGAAGGACCAATGTTCTCTGCTGTTTGGCGATGGATTTTAGCATTTCAACCAAATAACGTTTTGTCATTTACCTGTCAATGTTCTGCTCGTATCCAGAAATACATCCTGAAAAATCACTTTTTTCAAGTTTTGTAGTAAATAAAGGAAAAACTTTTTGCATACCCTGAAGTCTGACGAACTGAAAATTCTGCCCGTTTCCACTTTTCAGGCTAGACGCAAAGTGCGAATCATTTGTCCTCATACTGCTGCTGTCATTTCTTGACACATGTGGAATGTGCAAGAATAATAAGTTCACACGAAAACTGGCTGAAAGCTATTAGAAAAAAAAACTTGGTGATATAATCCCCTACAAATATTCTTCACCTTATAAAGAACTCACCAAAAAGGAAGAAGATACATTCCCAGTTTATATTTAAATCCTTCACTTCGTCCGCACCATATAATCAAATACAAAGAGTTAGTTGTTACAATTTGCATTTTTTAATATTCCTTTGTACTCTGTCAGGTGGGTAAAATGTCGGACTTTTAAATTTAAACCAGTAAAACGAAATTCGGTGTCCGTGAAGTGTCACACTTAAAATTTTAATCTTACCACATTATTGTCGAGTACAGAGAGAGTGTGATCACATTTTCTGGATGTTTAGGTGTGACGTTACTTACAAATAATTTCTAAACATTTACTTCATGCTCTGGTCGAACGTTTCTATTAAATGTGGGAAGTAATATCAGCTTACGAGAGGCAAATAAACACCCCAAATCCATGTTAATAGCACTCCAGTGCGTAATTACGCACATCCAATTCATGACATGACACCCATCATGTAGCTCTTTAAAACAAAAAAACGACAGCAGCCTTATTGAACGTTGGCAGAATCACCAGCACCTATTGAGCTTGGCAAAGCAATACACGGCCTTATTTGTTCCTGGTAGCCAGTGCCACATTAAATGACCTGACAAGGGAAAGCCACGGGCTACTTCAGATAAAGTGTCCGGACTCTGGAAGCTGCTAACCGCTCAGATTCAATGTAACAGGCGCCCAAAGTGACCGGGTAATCACATTTTCACTAACTTGTCTCACGGACAGACAAATGTGCGTGGGGTTGGGATGCGGCAGGTGGCTTTTTAGGCTATCACATTACAGGACTTTAACAAACTAGTAGCTACCCAACATACTCATTTATTGACAAGGTGGCTTATATTCGTTGACTTTTGTTCATGTATTTAATCCGTGATTGGTTTGGAACTGCTGCGCTTTAATTGCCGAATTAATTTATTTAAACACTTTATTTAACATTATATGGATTCTGTTGTTTTCTTGAGTTTTCGTGCGCAATTTTTGCTACTATCGTCAGTCTATTGCTGTTTTTAAATCATCAAAAATCATCAATAATTATTTAAGAAACGACTCAATACATATTTTGTAGTCTACTTTAAGACCCGGGAAAATCTTCGGATTAAATACATTTAAATAGTTAAATTCCAGCTTGTGATACAAAATCAAATGCAAAAAAGGAGCATATACATGTATATATATGTGTGTGTGTGTGTGTGTGTGTGTGTGTGTGTGTGTGTGTGTGTGTGTGTGTGTGTGTGTGTGTGTGTGTGTGTTTTGTTTTTTTAAAGAACCCATATCTCGCCCTTTACAATAAAGTCTTATGAAGCAATATGCGATGGGACAAGGCCCGGGGTGATTGTTTGGCAATATGGACAGAGTGTTGGCTGGTTCGCCCTGCCATATGTGAGCTCACCGGTGGCTTTTGATGGGGGAGAATTGGTCTGTTATAGCTGTCATCATTTCAGACATTTTTATGTTTCTTCTCTTGATGATATTTGCAAAGATTATTCCCTTATGACGGAGTTGTGAACAGAACACAACACACATTCAGCTTCTTTTAATTGCACGGACACTTTTTTTTAATAGGATGAGTCACACCTACATGGCAATAACTGCTGAATAGCTGTTTCAAGAAAATGAATAATTATTGTATTTATCCTGACTCCTGCACAGAGTGAATGTAGTCCCACCAGTCCGCACAGAGCACTCGTTGCAGATGCTGGGTGTTAGTAATCTGGTGTAATCCAGTGATTATGATTGATTATGACACGTTATCCCTGACCTTCCGGGATTCCACGATGGCACGGGTTGTCCAAAAACAGCCCAGGAGAAACCCCAGCTTGCATTCTGCCAGGTTTGTAAATTCATTGATCGCGTGAATGCTGGATAAAAAAAAGTGCCGGACTTTTTCATTGGGTCGTGGATACAGCAAGAAAAAAAAATATAAGTTTAAAAGAAGATGCTGAGGGTCCATTTAAAAAGCAGCCTTAAGGTGATCTCGTTTAGACCAAAATATTTAGGCACTGTTTCGGAAAAACCTACCGCCGGTACAATTAAGATGCACATCAATCCTCGTTTTTTTTTCCACAGGCAATATAAAGCTGACACCCTGATTCCAAAAGTCCAAAAAGAAACGACAACAAAAGAGTGAAAGAGTGCGATTTGTTTGAGAAATTACCACTTGATCTGCATAATCGGGGGTCTGGGCTGCAGCTCGGTACCCGGGGGCTGCGTTTTTATTGCGCGTCTCTTCGCCGTTATCAATTTCAGCAGCGCGCCTGACTTTTTAAAAGGGGGACGAGGCCGGCTGCTTCTGAATAATGAATGACACGCTTTTATATTGTCGCTAAAGTGCCCGTGATGTTACAATATGAAAAGGCAGCGGTAAGTAATAGTGCATTTAAAGGGGATGTAGTGTATTATTATGATGTAAAAGAGAAGGAGAGAGGCGAGAGGGAGAGAGAGAGGGAGATGAGTGGAGAGCAGAACCCAGAGAAAGAGAGAGATTGTTTTATTACAATAAGAGGAGATGAGTTTGCCTCGCAGCGAAATGGGGACCAGTTAATGAAACTTTACCGCAGCTAACGATTTCCCCTCCCTCGCTCTAAAAACCGCCCTTATGAAATATTTAAACTATTTAATATAGGTGGTATTAAGCTGAAAGACACTGGCATTGGCCATCTGACAACATTTACAAGGCTGTGGATTTTTCTAAAGTTGGGTAAACAAAGCTTTACGGCCCGCTTTTTTTTCTCCTCTGCGCACATACAACAGAAGTCGTGTAGTAAATCACGCTTACATTGAGCGCAATATAGTGAAAATGTGTTTTACTGTTGGGAGACTTGATTTAGTCTAATTTACACTTTTCTCCATACCCACGCCATGAGTCCCCCCCTCACAGATGCAGCATAAGCCCGTCTTGTCTGTAACGGGGGGGGGGGATTGCATGGCCCCAGTGTGGGGGGAGATAGTGTTTCATATTGACATGCTCAGTGGGATTGTTGGATGAGAAGAGAGCAATGGGATCCCCCATCAGGGACACAGACAGGACCATCCTCATCCCTGGGCTGTCACAGGAACACTGCTCTGTGCTCCTGTGTGGACACTCTTATCTGCAAGACACTTAAAAAGCAGATAAACCATGTAAAATGTCACCGTAAATGTCAGTTATATGGCCTGGTAGATATTAAAGGGTTTTAATGACCAAATATGAAGGTTATAATCCCAAAAGGTTCATTTTATTGGAGGGAATCTATTTTACATTTCCCTAAAAGACAGATGACAGCACACCTTTTGCCTTTTAAATGTTGTAGGGGCTGATTATAAAAACGTAGTGGTAGATCTTCCTGTGTTTAGATAAGACACAAGTTTATTATTTATTTATTTATTTATGTATAGGGATGGTATTTGTTTCAGTGAATGTTGCATTTTTTTGCTAAACTCAAAAAACAATGTGCTTTGGTTTTGTGTGTGTGTGTGTGTGTGTGTGTGTGTGTGTGTGTGTGTGTGTGTGTGTGTGT